TGATGCCTCTATTTATTGGCAATTATTTTGAGATGGGAGTCCTGATCCAATGGTACCACATGCATTTGCATAGTATTGAGTCGCATTATATGATTGCATAAAGACGTTGTGTATTGATGGGGTAAATGTGTATATTGCTGGTATTCTGTTGCGATTATTGTTGTTTATGACATGTGAAGTGGTGTTATTATATGAGCTGATCTAACATATTATTTATCATACATTTTCTTATATTGTTAGATATCTCACCCCTTCTAATTGAATGTTACCCTTGCGTTGCTAACGTGCAGGTAATCTAGAGTGAAGGTAGTATACCTTCAGTAGTTCGAGTCAGTGTCATTGCTCTGATACGTAACACTCGGGGGGATGAACGCTTGTTGCTTTTAGTTATTGCTTATTTTAGTTGTTGAACTTTAATTTGATTGTTGCTAAGTATGTGTTATTTTGAAGTTGCTGTAATTGTTGGACAAAGATGTTATTATGATTCCGCTGCGTAGTTGTTCAAGTTGTTGAATTAAGAGATTAAATTATTTTTGTTGTTGGTTCATCCGAAGTTTTAAAGTGTTATGTATCCATGTTGAATGAAATGTTTTTAGGTTGAATTTGTGGCATCCTGATTCGGTTGTATGAATTTTATAACTCTGATTTACATTTATAATTGCCAGGTAGAATTGGGGTGTTACATGCATGATGTCCTATCAAATGTTACGATATTCTTTCTGAAGTGTGATCTTAGGTAGTTCATATTGGTTTGTTGTTTTGGAGTGTTCTTGTGTCGTGATTTTTCTCTTGTGGTGAAGAAATAATTTTATGGAACAAGGGAGAATGGTTGATCACTACTGTGAAGAAGACAATTGTTATATGTGGTTCATCATGAATTATTTTGGTCATCCATGTGTGTTGAGTGTTTTTAGCTGGAATCCTCAAAAAGATGTGAATCTAAGAGAGCTCTTTGTTTGGTTCTCCACTGGATTGGGAGTTAGCTTTTGGTGATTGAGAATTTTTTTCTTTGGCCAAGTCTGATGGAGTCAATATCTATGGATAATCTTTCTTTGTTCAGTTGTGGTTATCTGTGTTTTCGGGTCTTTTTCAAAGACTATGGTAAAGGTTGAGAGAATTATGAAATCTCAATATTTTTTATGTTTAAAGAATGAAATGTTCAACTAAATATAATGACATTGTATTATGGAGAGCTTAGTCTAAAAATCCCAAGGATGACTGTATGTGTAGCATGGAAAGAGGTGTGAAGAACAGGAGTGCATGTTTTAGTGGACGATGTGTCTACATTGTCTCTTCATCTAAAGACACGTGAAAAATGCTTTTGTATGGAGAATGTCACACCTAATATTGGAACATGTCAGCAGTCAAGGCTTGGAAAGAGAGAAACTGAATAAATCCATGTCTCTCTCTCGAAATGAGTGGTGCACAGTTAACAAGGATGACTCTATCCTCTTGGAAAATGCATGCTTTGAATGGTAGTGTTGTTACAAATAAGGCATCATTACAAACCATGGTAACCTTCCTTGTATATAAATACCCCTTACTTGTTCTTCCCACTCAAGTTTTTGGTTGTTCGTCCTTTTGTCTTATTTTTTAATTCTCTTCAGTGTTGTTTGTTGAGTCTTTTCTTGAGATTCTGGTTGTGTCCTCTTTGCTTTCAGTCTCAAACTCGATCTTTGTCTTATTTTGGATAAAAATGGGGAGATAGTTGAGTCTTGTTTAGTGTTGTTGGGATTGCATTCAACAATTTAGGGGGAGTATGACCACCTGTCATAAGGATTGTCATATGGGTTTTCTGTTTCTCCATTTGATGGTACTTATGTTGTGGGTGTATACAGGATGTCATACCAGATGTTTTAACATCCTGTTTGGTGTGGTGTGTACTTGTTTCTTCTATCATATGATCTTCTAATATGTGTTGCTTCTGTCACATGTTCTTCTAATTTGGATTATTCAAGTTAGAGTTCTTTTTGGTTTCTTGAGGCTACAGAAAAATTCTCCCGAGACTTTGTGACAAGAACTAGTTCTGATTTTAGGGGGAGTAACTTTGTTGTTCTTGAAGATATAGGCCATCTTAGGGGTGTTCAATCCAAACCAATCCAAATAAAAAACTAAAAACCGACCCAAAGAACTGAAAACCGCAAAAAACCGAAATTGATTGGATGTGTTTGAATGTCATTTTGTGAAAACCGATCGGTTCGGATCAAATTTCAGATTAATTTTTTAAAACCGATCCAAACCAAACCGAACCGCATACATATGTTTTTATACTTATTTACTTTTTATTAGAATGATATGTTACCTGAATTTATTATTAAATAATTATAATTTTTTAATAATATTTATTAGCTTGGTATAATCTATTTATTTTTATTATTTCAACCATAATCGATCACTCTCATTTTGTAATATTAATTTTTAATATACTATATGTTATATATTATATCAAATCTATGATTTATTAGTAGTTTTATAATATTAATAAAAATATAATGTGTAATTTGGATATCCAAAAATCAATCCAAATTAAACCGCATAAAATTGGATCGGATTGGATTGGATTTTTTAATATATCATCCAAAATCGAACCGAACCGCAAGTAAATTTATCTTTGGATCAGATGATTTTTTGCCTTAAAACCGATCCAAATTGAACTGCAAACACCCCTAGGTCATCTTCTTTCTCATGTACACAGTCTTGTGTCTATGTCGTGTCTTCCTGGTGTAGTGACTTCCTGTTCAGTATTTTGTGTGTGGATAAGGTATTTTAGCCAAGTGCTTGTGTGGAAAAGGTGTTTCAGCCAAATGTTTGTCAAAGAGGTGTTGAATATGTGTTGATGCTTTTAAGGGGGGAGAATCCGCTAGTTCTCTGTTGTGTTCTGAGCAGTTTTGAAAGGGTTGGCTCTGGATTGGAATGGCTGTGAAGAGTTGTCAGACATGATGTCCTGACATGTTGATAATTTTTATTTTGTTATCTTATTTTTGGGATAAGTAGCTTCCATTGTTCTCTAATAAAAGTGTTTCTCTGCTGCTAACCTTCTGATGTTTGTGTTGGCTGTTGCACCTCTGATATTTGTGTTTGATTTATTTTTAAACCTGAGATGTTTTGTTGTTTATGTGTGGAAGAAGTACTAAGTTGTTTTAGCCAAAATAAGCCAAAGGGAAAACTTGTTAATTCTCTATTTTTGTGATTGGAATTATGTTTGTTAAGACCAACTTAGCAGAAACATGTTGAAATAAGATGTTCTATCAACTGGAGCAATATGTTGAACAAGATGTCCCATGTAGGTTCATTCGACATCGCGCCTATGTACAGCTGGACAGTTGGATATTTTAGTTTATCTCAGATGCAAAATATTCTGGAAATATTATGTTATCCTATGTTACGCTTAGTTTAAGGATTAAGAGATTCAAGTTGAATTCAAGGAGTATTCTTAGTTTCTAGTTATGGAGATAATTTAGGAAACTAATGATTGAAGTCCTATTTTCTTGCAGAAGTTTCTGCATATTTTTAGCAACCGATTTGCTGCGTATTTGAAGCTCAATCCAGTCTAGAAGATGGCTTTAACTAGGTTGTTACAAACCTAATTTTTGTGTGGAACTTACGGTGTAATTTTTATTAGGGTTTGTGTGTTAATTGTGATCCTCTCAATTATCATATTGATAAAATAGTAGGACTATGTTTTTGAGTGGTAAGTTATGCCAGTCATTCTAAAACTTTTAAGCAGTGAATGATTGTGTGTCTTTGAAGTGTGACTTATGTTATTTTCTAAGTGTCTAGAATTTTTCAGTCACTATTCTGTGATTGGAAGGGATTTGAGAAGGATCTCATACTTAGATGAGTCTTAGGTAGAAGTTAAACAACAGTAGTGATTAAGTGAGGAGTTGTAAACAGGAAAGTTTAGCTTCAAATTGATACTATCTAGTTGATTTTGTCTCTGGCTTGGTAGCCCAAAAAATAGGTGTTATTGTAACTGAATTGGGTTAACAATTTTGTGTTATTTAATTTTATGTGTTGTTTTATTTTATCTGTTCATTGTGATATTGTTCAGAAATTAATATCTTGACATCTCTTAAAACATCTGTGATTTGACTACCAAAATTTTACTTAATTAGTTCAGAATCCCTATCTAATAATATGACTTTCTTATGTGAAAGAAATGTAAAAAATAAATAAATTTTTTTTACGATTTCAAAAATACATATCCAAACTAATAAACTAATTTGTAAAATGAAAACGTCTCACTAGTAAAAACATTGAGATATATGTAGAAAAAAATCCGCTTAGAAATACATCTTCGAATATTAAAAACAAGTGTGAATTTTAACTATGGTGTAGGTTGGGAAAAAGTAACCCCTTAAGTGATTAAAAGAAGTTTCACTTTACAGTTTTTAAATGCATGTTTGAAAATAGATTAATTTTTTTGTTTGTTTTAGTTGCTGCGGTATCACTGTTTTGTTTATTTTCTGTATTCAAAATTTTGTTAAAAAAGTTATTTTATTTAATTATAATTTGGAGGGCCTCCAAATATTACCAGAAAGTAATAAATAAAAATTTCAACTTAATATAATATTCTATGGGTTTAACTTATATATATGTAAAATTATTTTACGCTGTCATCCAATAGAAAGCTAACAAATTGCCTTGTCATTAAAAAAAAATTAAAATTAAAATGTGATTTATTCTAATATAAGATTGTGATTGATTAACATTATAAAATTAATATACCCTATCTGTGTATCACTACTTTTCTCATATTCTATAATATAACTGCCAAAAACCAAAAACATATTAATATTGTCTCATTCCGCAACATGCACAAAACAATGAAATAAAATCATCCATTGGAAAAAGGGAAACAAACATTCAACTCTGAGAAGAAAATAAAACTTCTGTATATATGTTTAAGAGTTTGTTCATACAACAATCCATTACAACCTAAGAGAATGCATCTTTCAAATGTGTTAATGTTCTCAATTTTGAATTATTAAAACACTCACTCATTCATTTCCTCTTATAACATCAGCTTTATTAAAAGTCGGTGTAACGAGACCAAGAATAACAAAGCCGCCTAAAGCAACAATCAAAACGCCTAAGAAATTGACCAGAATTGCTTCATTGGAATATCGCGATATGACATTGTTGGTTTGAAGGAATGTAGCCTTTTCTAAGAGACCTGTAGTTGTTGTAGCTATAGCCAAAGCATAGATATAGGTACCAAAGAATACATGCCATGGCATTAGTGCAACTCTACTGTTTCTTGACCCTCCTGGATACCAAAACGTTGCAAATCCAGCAGCCAACTACAAATTCAAATTCTGAAGTTAGAATATGGAAACCAAATAGGTCTTTGTGTTTACTAGTTTGGATCTTTACTTTCCAATAAATGCGAATAGAATGATAAAGATACCTGGATGAAGAAGAGGAAAAGGCATGCAAGGCCTAACCATGAATGCAGGCTGTAGAAATTGTCAATGCCCTTGTCATTGTGAAACTTCCAAGCAGCCCAGAGACCGATTATGCTCAAAATGAGAGCGAGAAACTGTAATGCCAGATGAACTGTTTTTTTGAAGCTTTTAGTTCCAGATACTGTCTTGTATGCAAGCATCCCTGCACATTGCCATAACAAATTGATGAAGGAGTCAGCACTAACGGGACAAAATCACAAACCAATTAAGGGATTGTAGAAAGCTCAGTAGCACCGAGACTTCTGATCAAAGGTGTGTCCAGTGTCTGATACCGATGCATGTGATAACATTCAATTAATTAATTATTTCAAATTATTATCGATGTTGACGTGATAGAGCATATGTAAAAATAAACATTATATGCATTCTCAGACAACAGATAAAAAAAACAGTGAACAATTAAACAACATAGAACAATTTCGCATAAACTTTGAGCTAGTGAATTTAATAAGAAAGGTTAAAAGAGCATAAAGTCTAAAGATCCATGAAAAGCTTCACCATTGAATGAGCAGAGAAAACATTGAGAATCAACAATTAAGAACACTACAAGAACATTCTCTGAGAACTAAAAAGGACAGAACAATTACCTTCACCATTAATTAGAACAAGCCCAATCACCATCAACACCGGATGAACCTACATAGAATAAAAGTGTTCAAAGTTCAAATGCACTTTCTCACATAAAAGCTCAAAATACAAAACATACAAAAACTTAGAGCTAAAATATACATTAAAAAACCCCAACAAGACCAAGAGTGTGTTAGTGTGAACGCTTAATAAATGTGATATTGTTGAATACATAGTTTAAAATTGCGGTCCACAACAATATTGTTGATGTGACAGTTTCTACAATCGCATCGGACCGCAATTGCGGTGTGATTTGAAATCACACGTTCTTCCACACTAGGAACCACAATCAGACAACATCGGCCAAGTTTCTTCAAATATTTTCATCAAAATTATTCAAACTTTAGAACCCAAAAACTCAATTTCCTTCAGAAAAATCTTAACATCAAGAGTTTTTTAACTGTGTATTTCAAACTCTTCTAAATCAAAATCCACAGCGAACGGCTGCAATGCGCATCGCAACAACCACAATGACTGCAATCGCAACACCCGAAACCACAATTTAAAACCATGGTTGAATGTATTTCTCATGTAAAATTTTCAACCTAATGCACAAACCACTGTTTTATTGCTAAACAAAAACAATTGTGTTCTATAGTAACTACACATCAATTTTTATATTCTCAAATTTGCATCTAAATAGCTACGAAGCACGGACACCAGAAACACAAACACGACACCGATGATAAATTAAATGTAATCACAAGTGCCATTGTCAGTTTTGGATACCAACAACAACCCTTATACACCTTTTTTCAGAGGTGTCGGTGCATCTCGAACCAGTGGCTCTTTGGCTCTTTAATTAATAACAAGTCCAAATCTAATCATGGATTGGTTCTCAATTTTTCTTAACATACATAAACAAATACTGCATAACCATTAACCACACATCCAAAGCTACAATGAAAATCAAAATCAACACTAACCAAACCTATTATCCTAAACCTCCTAATTCTCACATTTTGAGTTCAAAACAAAAAATTGATAAAAGAACACAGAAAATAAAGGGGAATAACAAATGAATCGAAAGAAAAAGAGTGAAAAGAAAGAGATTGATTACATTGAAGATGAGATCTTTGTTATCGGAAAAGAGAGCAAGACCTCCCCTGAAATGAATAACCCAGGTTAGGAGTAACAGAATGATGAGAACTCCAATCGCTCTAACCGTTGCGAAGATCGGAAATCTGACCACAGGTGGAGTCGCCATTCTAGAGGGAGAAGAGAGAGAATGAGAATGAGAATGAGGTATTGACGACGTAGGTATTAGAAGAAGGAAGAGAAAAGTTGAAGAAGAATATAAACAATCTTAATCAAATCAATAACTTCAGTTGCTTCTCGCACTAGAACTACCTTTCTTTTCCTTTCATTTCCATTATTCAACTCTCTCTATTTACCAAAATACAAACACATTTTTAAAGACTAGTATAATTTATAAAATAAAATAAAAAAACTCTCTCTTTCGTCTTTAATATAATTGGTAATACTTATGTCCATAAATATAAGACTTTGTGGAATAAATTACGAGAATTAAGAAAGTTTGCTAGAGTAATAACAAGTCAATTTTGATAAACACACGCGCAGTTGCTAACTAATCCATGAAATCATTTATCTTCGGAAACAAATACTTGTTCTTGATTGTTACTTTATTCAATTATCATAATCTCCATACAATCTCATACTACCATCTTTTTTCTTCACTAGTAGCACCGGGACTCTCCAAGGTGACACACTTGGTCTCACAAATTTCTTTTCCAATTGCTTCTTCAACTCTACTAACTCTGACGCTAACATCTTGTATGGTGTCATAGAAACAGGTCTGATACCAAAGACAAGATCAATAAAAAATTCCACCTCTCTCTCTGGAGGTACATTGGAAATATCATCTGGAAATACATCTGGAAATTCATGCACTACCTACAATTCACCAATCAGCGCTTGACTTTTAACAGATAATGACGCGAACAACGCAAACACTTGAGCTTCCTCTTCCAAAATCTCCTTCAATTGTCTAGCAGGTAAGAAACCAGCTTCTTCCTCATCATAAGGAGTAATAAATCGCACCAACTTGTTATAACAATTGATATGAACATGATTAAACTCCAACCAGTTCATCTCCAAGATCACATCAAGATCCCTAAGCGGCAAACAAATAAGATCAACACCAAAATATTTATCAAAAATCGACAGAGGATAATTCAACAAACCAAAGAAGTAGTCACTGATCCCTTAGCAGGAACATCGATAACCATCTATCCATTCATAGAGGTGACCTTAAGTCCTAATCCATAGCAAACTCGACCTCTTACTTCAGAGGCAAGTCACTGATGTCATCTAGAAATACGTCTTGGAAATCACCCACAATAGGTAAATTGACACTTTATTGCTCCATTATCGACATGCAAGGATACAAACATTACAAACCTATGAGTTTCATCTTCTAAGAGTTCTTATACTTTCTTAGCAAATAAAAACACCAGTTCTCCACTGTCACAAAAATCAGATCCACACTCTAGAGGAAAGTCACGTATATTTTCAGAAAAAACATCAGGAATTACACACCACTGGCCTATCACTAGCCGTCATATTGCTCTCTATTCTCCAAGAAGCAAACATCAACAATACTTGATCGTTCTCCCTCAAAGACATCCCAACTTGACCGGAAGACAAGAATCAAGAATCTATACTCTCTTTGAGTTCGGGAAACAACATCACCTCAACAACACCTGAACTCTTGCAGTCAGCGGTGCACTGCACCAACTCTCCACACCTGAAACATCTCAGAGAAGTGAAAGCTTCTCCCCCACTTAATTCAATCTCACTCTTGCAACCAAGTGGTTAGAAAAATCAAGTGTCAATATTGTTTCACACACATGTCATGTACTAAGGAACCAACAACATTAGACAACCTGACCGGACGGGCCGACATGCTCTGATACCACTATGTAACACCCTAAATTTCTCCGCATAATTATAATAAAAAATCAGAGTAAATTTAAAACCTTATACAATTAGGATGCCACATTCATTAACACAAACCTGCTCATATTATACTAACATGTAACACATACAACTTATTAAAATTATTAATAATAACTATAACAACTTCAACATGTTTAACTTCATCTTATTGCAGCGAAAAAGCATCAACAAAGTATTCAAATACTTATTTAACATAAAACATATTATAAAGTAGTCATAAAACTTGCAACATAAGACATACTATAAAATCTTTAACAAATACAGCATGACACTCAAACGTCCGACCCCAGTGTTACATATCAGAGCAGACACTAACACTAGTTAAAGCAGTAAAGAAGAGCATTTTCTTCTATTAATATTCACACCTTCACTGTGGATCACCTACGCGTTATCTGCGTGGAGGCAACATTCAAACAAAATGGGTGAGATATCACAATAATATAAAGGAATACATAATAATAAGTAGATAACAAATCATTTCATGCATAGTCACCCATTCCACCAATCACACTTCCATTCAACAACACCCAATTACACCTCAATTATGTAATAATAACATCCACCCAATAACAATGATTATGCAATAACAACAATTATGCAATGCATCGAAACTCAACACCAATGACTCAATGCGTATGGTACCAATATATGAACACTCAGTTTCACCGCTTCGATCCCCATCTAGGATCGAGGCTTATCAAATGGACCCCGTCCAAAATTGTTACTAAGTAACGCTTCACTAATCCATCACCATATGAATTAGCTACTCGAACCCAATCCATGTAATGGGATTGAGGCTCACCAAAAGTGGACCATTATCCAAACACCATGTTGCATGATTTATGAATGATATTCAACATCAACAACATACATACAATGATATTCACATTAATTAATGTACCACGCTAGGGATGGCAACAAGTTGCAATGGGTGCGGATTTCACACTACCCAAACTCGTACCCGAAATCATCACCCGAACCCGAACTCAAATCCAAAGACTATTCGGGTGGCAAAATAACATCCACACGCACACCCGCTGGGTTCGGGTTTTTCCACCCGAAACCGAACCCGCGGCAAAAACACAAAAAATACAACAACAACATTGAAATTTGAAAAACAAGAGAGAGAGAGAGAGAGAGAGAGAGAGAGAGAGAGAGAGAGAGAGAGAGAGAGAGAGAGAGAGAGAGAGAGAGAGAGAGAGAGAGAGAGAGAGAGAGAGAGAGAGAGAGGTACTTATGTAATATAATGTTTAAGCGGGCGGAGTTTCAGGTTTCGGGTGTGGGTTTGAGTAAACCCAAACCCGCATCCGAAATATCGGGTGGCACCCGAACTCGAACCCAAACCCAGTCAACTCGGGTTTTCATCGGTTGAATCGAGTTCGGGTGCAGGTTGGCCGCATGGGTTTGGGTCTTCCTGCCATCCCTATACCACGCCAATACAAGCCACCAAACACCATACATACACTACACATATCAACGTTAGTATTATAGCAACACATCAATTAACAACATACCTTATGTACACATTAATCACACCATGACATACCAAATCACATAATACACCACATCATATAATGACAACAAACAAGTACAACAATATTCACCTTAATGGGTGTACCACACCAATACTAACTACTAAAACACCATGCATATATTACAAGCAATCCACATTAGTATTACAGTAACACATTATGCAACAACAAACAATTCCTACACAATTATCACATCACAACATACAACTACACACCATACATCACCATTAAACATAATTTAAATTATTTCCAGAAAGTGAAACTATTTTTAAATGAAATTGCATAGTCTCAATTTTTTACATCTTCAAATGGCGCGTCAATCGGACACCCGAAACTAAAGTTATGAATTTTTAAAGTTTTTACAAAATTTTCGACACAATGATGTAACAGGTTACTTCAATCTAAGGAACGGGTTACTTCAAACCCAAAAAATAGAATATGCAGTTTTTCTATGAGATAACTGATTACCTCATTTCAAGTAACCGGTTACTTCATCCCAAAAATGCCCAGAACATGTTTTAATAGCAAAGTAACGAGTTACTTCATTTCAAGTAACTTACTTTGCTGACATAAGCATTTTTCTGTAACTTTTGACACGAAAGTCATTTTAAGCCATCCCAAAACCTCATTTTTCTTACAAATCATTTAGCTTAATTTTTAACAGAAAAAAATCACTTTTTAAAAGTTTTAAACCCCAAATATTTTTCACCGGAAGCACCCATAACTTAGTTCCCACGTGACTCGCAACCATACACAGCATCACAACATCCACCATCAACCATTCATTCAAATGTATGATTTCAACATTAACATTACATAATTCACCATTCAATCATCAAACATAACATTCTAACACATCTAATTCATCAATACAACATACAATCACCTCATCATACATCAATTCATTCAAAATCAAAAAGAGATGAATACAACCATAGAGATACAACATTCTAACAAGAGCAATCATAAACCCCAACCCATATATCATTATGCAAACCCTTATAGAATTGGGACCCCATCCTTACCTTAAAATTTCTAACAAAGCTCTCTTCACCTCTAACAGTGGAGTTTTTCCATCTTCGTCCTCAAGCCCTAGCCTTGTTCTTTCCCTTTCTCTTCTCTTATCACATACTGTTAGTTCTGACCTCACTAATCCCTATTATCTTATATTATTATTATTATTATTATTATTATTATTATTATTATTATTAGTAGTAGTAGTAGTATTATTCTCAACTAATTAAAATAAATAAAATCAAAACTAGATATTTATTTAATCTTATTATTACTAACATTATTTAATATATTTAAATTATAATTTAAATAATACTAGTAACGTCATTCTGCCGCCACCACCCCTATATTTCTACACGTTTGCTCACACCTCCCCCCCTAACATCTCTGTTTTTAATTTTATCACCCTACACCGAAGGGTTTCCAACCACATCAAAACACCAAATAGCACACAATATGATTTAAATTAATTACAAATAATTAATTAAATCAATCAGAGTGTTACACCTTCCTTATTAAGCAAGAAATTCCTAAGCAAATCCTTATGAACAAAAGAAAGCCAAGAAAAAAAATTCTAAACTTAAGATCAACCTAGCAAGGAAATCAACATAAAAATTGGATTCCTTATATATGTGTGATCATAAAATCAATAGAGAGCATGTACTGACCGGCAATTAAGCCA